TTTTTAATACAAATTATTTTATTGGTTTAAAATTATTTAAATTTTTATTTTTATTTAATTTAAATAAATATTTATTAAATAATAACAAAAATAAAAGATGCCATTATTTTTGTTCCATACTGTATATTAATGAATTGTGAATTTGCTTTATAAAGTTTAAAAGAAAAACTTAAATCAAATTATTGTATTTTGGCCTTAGAAACTTTAATAGTAGTGAAGAGTTTGAATAGCTTTTTACAGGATTGTTTTCTTAAAGATTACCTTGACTAATTTTATTTTCTTGAAAGTTATCTTAATTAGGATTATTATCTTAAAAACTATCTTGATCTTTTTTAATTTTTTGATAATTGTTTCAATTAAAACTTATTTTTATTAGATTCAGGTTGTGATTTTTTCTTTGAGTAATATCAGAATTGTAATTATTTAATTGAGTATTGGTAGAAAAAGAATTGAAATCTTGAAAATTATTATTGACTTCTAAGAAAATATTAATTTCTATTGCTTATTATCAAAAAAATATTTTATATACTTGCAATACTTTTTATTAAATATTAGTAATTACTATTATTATAAGCATGAATGAGCTAATAAAAATCAGTAATATTTTACTATACATGTATATTAATAATAAATTAAATTTGAAAAATAAAAAGGCAATAGACTTATAGGTCCATAGCATAGTGGTAATGCTTCATAGGTCACCAGGAGAAAGTCTAAGGTTCAAACCCACCTGGTTACAAAAATTTATTACTTTTATAATTGATTGACTGGCTTCCAATTTCTGTTATATCCAATCAGCCACAAATAATTTTCCAAATTTAGTTAGGCTGCATGAAGATAAGATCTCTGGTTTTTTCAATAATTACGAGCTAAAATCAGATCAAAGCATGGAAGATTGCATAAGAAAAAGCTTCTGGTCTAACTTCAGTAAATAAAGTTTACTCTAACTCAAACTGGGGATGACAGACTTTATTACACAATTTCAAAAAAAAAAGATTAATTCTAAGCCATTCTATTTCAATCTGGAGCTTGTAGATCTATCCCAATGGTAGTGTTCCAAAGAACTTAATTATATAACTGAAGGGCAAGATATCAATCACAAATAATAAGAAGACTAGGCAAAAATCATTAAGCCAAGTGTGCCTAGTAAAAATATACAAGATTAAATTAGAATCCAAGCAAGGATACCAGTTTTACAAGTAGTAAAAATGGTAGTGCTGTGTTATGCTAGTGGCATATCTTGAGGATTGGTGATAATAGTAACTGGAATATTGGATTAATATTTATAATAATATATAGGTCAGATCATAAGATACTAGTTCAACTTTAGGTAAAGGCAGTTAAATAGAATTTATATACAGTATATATATATAATGCCAAAAGCAATATTTAAATAATATAATTTAAAATGTTTATTGATAAAAAAATAATCTTTAAATTTGAATAATTTAAATAAACACTAAAACAATAATTTATTTAAACAATATTATAGTTACAGTAATAGTTGACGACAGTGGCTTGTTAATCACGTCGATCCAATGCCCGAAATGATAACTTACTAGTTCCTTAATTTTTTTAACTTCTTTAATTTCATTGGCTTTTGTAATTTCGTATGTTGCGATCAATACAGTACTGTATAAATGATCGCACAACAGCATGTAATAATAACAATAAAGAGACTCCCAAATTGCAAGACACCTAAAACACTTACCTCTTAAATGTGCCAAACCTATAAACTCACCAAATCCACGCCCTTTCCGCCTTACCCATCCCCCGTAATACTTACCTATACCCCTGTCAGATCGTGCTTCGCGTCGCCGCTGGGAGACTCCTAACACTATAGTCAATAAAAATATGATGTATAAAAAATTCTCCGGTACAATTAGTAAAAATGGAAATATACAAAAGTAGCTAATTTTAAGAAATTGATGACAGGACAATTATCGAGAAACGATCCATACTGTAATATTGTAATGAGTAAGAAAATTATATACAGTAGTTATTTCGCCAAAATAGCTTCACGTTGTTCATTAGTAAGCATGGTTAATTAAAAACATGTATATTAAAATTTTTGCTTTAAATTAATTTTTTTTGCCTATCGTTATGAACAATTTCAAGTAAATAACGTAATAAATAGTATAATTCATTTGACTTTAACGAGAGTATTATTATATAACATCTAAATTATCAATGTATCGGATATTTTAAAGGCGGGGAAAAACTGTAATCATATATATACTGTAGATAAGTATGCATTAGCTGTTCAAAGAAAAAAAATATGGAAGAAATTCAATCAGACTCGGGTATGTTGCTATAAAATTATATATCCCGCGATGTTAAGAGTATATATTTGTGATACTGGGAGAGCTTAAAGATGAGAATGTATTTTTAATAGATCTTACGGTCATTGCGAAGTCCGTTAACAATGACTTGAATCAAAATAATGGTAAAATTTATTAATAGTTAAGCCTCAAATATAGAACAGAAAACGTTATTTTGGACTTAAAATTTTCATGAGAATCTTTTCCCTAATAAATCATCTCAATATTCAATTAACGTGAAAATGCCAAGTAGCAAATCCCCTTGCGCCTGTTGATCAGAGTAACTTTACTCCACCATCTGGTGACAAGGATAGAGAAAACCCAATCACTGAACCTAGCAGAACTAGTTCCACCGACAACCTTAATTGTTCTGTGGGCGTGGAAAGTTCTAATACCGTTAATGACGATCCCATGAGAGTGGAAAGTTTTGATGCGGTTAAGAATATATCGGAAGACGATAAAGGTGTCTCTTCGGACATAGATGATCCTCTGGACCTTTGTAACGAAATTCCCAGTTTTTACCGCTTGCTTGATTTGTGCAAAGACATGGGATCTATCGGATATTGTAGGATTCATTAGTTTCTACAAATAATCGATAGTAAACAATAAATAATTTTTTTTTTCTAATTTAGCGGTTGACAAGATTATCATATCCCAAGAATTCTTGAGAAAACTTTGCAACGATATGGTACCAAATAGCTTTAAATCAATTTCTGAAGTTAATTACGCCTCTTTGAATTCGAGATCACTTGGTCTTGTCGGAATTTATGGAAATCGTGAAACTATCGCAGAATATTTGCTACAAAAGAATGCAATCAATAAAACAATGTTTGTTTGATTATTATGTTCCTCTTGGTCTTGGTTTAATGGAATTTGATTATTTATTTATGTAAATTCGTTTCAGTCATCATCTACTCGTGAAATCCCAGACGAATGATAATGAGAGTTCCAAATCAATGATGCCTCATCTCAGACCTGGAGTTTATCTTCTAGTTGAAAATAAATATGGTCTTATTATTCATTGGCCTGAAAAGGATTGTTATAGTATTCGAGCCTCCGACCAAAAAAAGAAGAACCTAGTCAACCTTCACAGGTCAGATAAGAACTTAAGGATGATGCTGGCGCACTTCATTCTAAATATAAAAGAAAACTCTTGTTTATTTAGATACCTTACGAAATTAACAAACGTTAATTTCTGCTTGATGAATGCGCAAGATCTTATGAACTTTGACTTTGAACTTAATAGCAAATACATTGAAGAAGAAGATGATGACGATCAGGTCTGCGGTGAATACAAGGTAGAGGAAAGAAAACAAGAGGAAGAGGATTTTAAATTTACCGATGGATTCAAAGTACTCACCGATCAGATTTTTAAATGATACATGATAATGAAATGGATGAATAAGAACTATTTATTTATTTGTATTTAATTTTTATAAAGATTAATTTCGATAATAGGAACTCTAAAGGAGAGTCATCCCTGCCCTTAAGCTTTCCTCCTGCCATGCCGATAGAGTCATATAATAATCAATCATTTATTACCTGCCGTATGACTAAACCTGAAGAATCAAGTAAAGAATATACACTGAATGGAAATGCCAACCAAGGAAAATTTATCAACCAGCTAAAAAATTATACTCTGAGAATAAATTCGTCCGTTACTATGGATGAATTGATAAATTTAGCCGAAGTTTTGTCGATAGGAAGCCAACTAGTGAAAACATATAAAGATAAAACGGAGACGGCCCGTAAAGATCACGAGAAAGAAAAGAACAATATTGATGATAATATTAAAATCGAATCAAATATCATTTTTTCAATGCTCGGATATGAACTAAGCAAAACATATGAGTACGTATTCAACAAAATTTACATTTATACATATATTATGTTTAATTCTATTCTAACGTTATTATTTAGGCTACTTGAAAAGGATATAGAAGATGAACCTTCTCAAGAAGGTAGGTGATTAATGATGGACTTCAATACGTTGTTGACCCTTAACGTTAAAACATTATTTAATCCTGTGCACAGATTTTACCGGAATTAGTGAGAATTATCCTGATGTGATTACTAAATTGCAATATAATGTTAGAAATATTGACACAAGAAATTGGAGGACCCTCAAAAAACGCTACTTGGCTAGTCGTCTCATTGTTACAAAACACGAATTATCCGATGAAGACAGCGAAGAATTCATTCATAAAATTTTAACAAAGGACACGAAAAGTTCGATAGAACAATTTTTTGGTTCGGTTGCGAGAATTTTCAAAAAATTTATCAATAGTGACGCATTATATTCAGATTACGAAAATGCATTGAAGGAAGTTCATGATATACCAGATCAACAATTTGTTCAAGACCTTTTTGGCACGGACATATATTCAGAAGTGAACAATGAAATAAAATCCGTGTTTGTCGATGAATATAATGCTTGGAAGAAGCGGCTATGTGAAAAATCTTTGCTATGTGAATATATTGAATGTTCTCAGAAAGTTCAAACTTCTTTGGAGAATCTTCAAGCAAAGTTTCAGGAAAAGAAGAAAGAAATCGAAAAAGAATATTTTGAAAGAATCTGCAATGAAATCCAACTAAAATATAACAATAATAGGTAAGTGATATTATACTGTATGATTGCCGTTTCTATACAATATCATACATACGCACTAATATGTAATTTATAAATTTACAGCTTAAACACATTGGCAATAAAATCTTTTTGTAAAAGAGGTAATAAGTCAAAATATTAACTATCACGATCTTTTTTTTTTTTTTGAATGGGTGGAATTTCTATCATGTGTTTTAACCATAACTAATATTAAAATCTAAAGGAGACATGTTTAGTATAAAATATACACGTACCGAACATATACCTTCCTGCGTTGAAATTACTATCTATGAAACACAACTTGATACCAACCAAGCCGAAAGTGTTCATGGGGATCCAAACTATGTTCCAACTCTAGACATAAAAAAAGGAATTATTTTTCGGGTCAACTTATTTTTTGAACTAAAGTAAATACGACAAATTCATTATCAAATATTTTATATCAATAATCATTTTCTAATAATCTATTTAATTACGTGATATAAAGATATATTTTTCAGCTTAATAGTAGGATCAATTTCGTCTTTTTCTGGAACAAAAACAAGCAATCACTCGATTTTCTTGTCAGTCAATCTACTTTTATTAAAGAAAAACCATTAATGAGTTTTCCGGGTCTTAAAGAAGATAGTTTGATAGCTGTTGATGAAGTCCTAGGCTTAATTGCATTATATGAAGTCACATCTGCCTCCGTAAGATCTTAGTTGTTATACTGTATTCGCAAGTCAAACATTTAACCTACCTAAATTATGTTTATCCATATTAGTTGTACATTTATGGGTTCGAGGAAAGCCCATCATTGACCGTCTTTCCACGTTTAACTATCAAGAACATTAATTTTGAATCCGAAATTCAGAAAATCTTTTATCTCCATGGATCAGAAGAATTATGCTTTGTTGAGAAAAGTGGAGTT